GTAGGGTGTTAACCTTCATGCATCAGTAGATCAGATCCTACTGTGTCTCCAGCACTTTATAACTATTTGAATTTCACTGAAAAAGCTATAATATGAAACGTGTATGTTTCTGCTGGTTCTAGGTAATTCATAATGAACTTTTATTGACTAAACCACTAGAAAGCAGGCATCTTAGCCACATCATATTTAAAGGTAATATTTGGGGAATTAGATGCCTTCTTGTCAGATTGATATGATGCTATTTAATTGGGAAACACTAACTTGGTAAGCTGCGTGGCTCCCACTGGTGCATTTTAAGGATATTTAATCTGTGGGATTCCGTGTTGTTATGCGTATGAAAGTGGGGTTGGGTAATTCCGATTCCTGTAGGTGTGGACATAATACAAGCAATACCTCTTCAGCTATTTAGCATTTTGAGCCTGTAGAAACGAGTGTGGAGATGTCAGCTGGAAATGTGGATCACGCCTGTCAGCTTGCATGAAAAACTGTGAAGTTATATAGTTTCTGGTGCAACTTCTACTCACTTACAGATGGCTCTTAATGACTATAAAAACAGCCTCCCCTTCTCCCAGCCCAGCACCCTGCCTGGGAATAAAAGTGATTGTTGTTCTTCCCAACCCTGGAGAAATTACTAGCAGGATCCAACATTGGTACCACGTTGCAGTGTGAACATATTCCTCTCTGATAGAACCCGTGCATTTGTTTCAAAATGAGGTTAGTCTGAGAGGGGGACACTGCGCATCTGACACGAGGCCCCGAGAGGGCTCACAACAGCAGACCACCGGAGGTGCTCGGGCTTCCGTAGTCAGGGCTTTCTGTTGAAAGCAGAAACACTTCTGAAGTTCTCTTTGCCCTTTGAACACATCCTTGCTGCTGCATGGGAAGACTGCACTGTGACTAACTCCAGCAACAGCCTAATTTGATTAGCAGTTGAACTTAATAAATGTGATTGATTGACGTGCAGCCCACCTTATAATTCCTTGTAGTCGTCATTGTGTGCTACTTCGTCAGTTCATTACGAGCCTTTAAAACTTGGGGGTATGTATTCCTTTACTTACTCAACTGACTCGTTATCACTAATTGATATTTATGTAAAACATTGATTAGTCTTTTCCATTAAAAATAATTACAACCGAAGTCTGTGGTACGTCTCCTTTGTGCAATGGCTCACACGGCCCGCTGCGGCACGCTGTTAGGATGTGGCTCCAGCCCCGTCTCCAGCCCCCGACTGCACTCGCCTGCTTTATCTCATCCCTTCTCCAGGACACGCAGTTGCACAGAGCCCAGGCACCAGGTGCACACCTGGGTAACTCCTGTCAGTTACTGCACTGCAGCACGGAATGCAGATTTAGACAACGTGACACGTGTTTCTTACAGCTCTGGAATACTTAAGGAGGCTCTATGGGTCTAAGTAGCCTCTTCTCCCATGGCTGTGCAACGTCTCTGGTTGCGCTGTGCAATTGGAAGTTGTCTCCTCTCTGGTGCTTCTGCTCTCCTGGTTTTTGGGCATCAGACTCCTTGCATGTTTTGTTCCTCCTTTGAGGATTTTCCATTTCCTTAAACTCTGGGCTGCATTGTACCACGCAGAGAACATTCTCACGAGGCAGCACACAGCTGGGCCTGGCAGCTGTTCAACCACCATACCTTGAATTTCACATGTGGGTGTTCTAAATGGACTAGAGGTTCTTTGTTAGAAGCAGCCATGTGCAGAACTCCTGAACATGTATCCTGAGTCTTTAGCTTTCAAGGGGAGGAAGGGAGGGAGGGGCGTAGTAATACTTAACGTTTCCTAAAAACAAGAAGAATGCTCTTCTCAAACATGTGGAGACCTTCCTTTGAACAAGCCGAGGTTATCAGACAGATGCCTTGTACTGAGCAGTGCTTAATTCCATTTCTCTCCCTCCCAGTGGAGCTGGAGCGGTTACTTCCTGCTTCTCCCTCCCAGAAGCCGTGTTTCTGTAACAAATGAATCCTCCTGACTTGCTTCTGAGCAAAATAACTGAAGTGCTTTGTGGTTGCGTAATGTCTGTGCTGGTGACTCTGCAAGCTTAGAGCGTGCCTGATGAGGACCTGTTACACCCCTGCGCTTCACATCTGCCACAGGCATCGCACAGGGGCCCCAGCCTGCAGGCAGCAGAGGAGAGGGGGAAAGGCCAGCGCTTGATGGGGTTACTGGTACAGGCTTCCCCACGTCAAGAAAGCCATCTGCCTTTCTGCTGTTAGACACACAAAGGAGCAGGAGGGCATGAGTGGCAGCAGAGGCCTCCTTCCCTCCCAAGTGCCCACATGGAGCAGGGCAGCAGGCCACTCAACTCAGACATAACCCTGCTGTTGCAAGTCAGGGGCTATTCTCACAGGACAGGGAGAGAGGGTGCCTGAAATAGGGGGAAGGGACACCCAAGGGGAACACAAGGCCAGCAGTAACGATGCTGTGAAAGTACCAAAAGGCTGTGGTACCCCTTGGTCTCCTTGCAGTGCCTGGCATTCAACAGTGCAGTCCAATGCCCAGAGAGTACACAAAGCTCCACTTAAAACATACCAATTTCCTATCTAGAATTTATTAAGCACAGGGTAACCTACTGTTAAAGCATAAAAAAGGATTTTCCTCTCCTTTTCAGTCCCAGATGAGGTCAGAGGAAACACAGGTTATGAACACCGGATCATTTTTCTGCCCCAGCATATACCTGTCTCTTGTTTTGAAAAGCAGCTTCTGGTTCATGGAGGAAGCTGGAGATGCTGCCACATGACTAGTGACTTTTCAACAAATTCCCCAACTTAAGAGAGGTCACCTGCTGCAGGGAATGCTGGAAGTGGTTTGCCTTTCTCTGTTCCAAAAACTACACAGAAGCAGCTTTACAAGGTTCAGAAAGCTTTCATTATAGCCGTTGTCTCAGGCTCCCTCGCTTGCTGCTGCAGCATGGAAAAGCTGTCTTGGCTCTATCAGCAAAATTAGATGCCGTAACTGGCACTGCGAGAGGACAAAGCACTGCTCTTCAAGACGGCCGAGGTTGTTAGCTCACATTTATGTAATCCTGCATGGCAGAACTAAAACTTGCTTGCCAAATCCTGCTTGCAACCCCATTTTGCTTCCTTTTATTCCTAACTGAACTTGAATACACTTCTGGTCACAGATTTAAGTAGCAACTTTATATAGATTGTTCACTATTAAATTGTGAACACGGTAAGTCTCAACACAGAATATCATAAAGCTGTTCCCTGTACTCCAGAATTACAACTCACCTCCCTCACTGCTGCCTCTGTGCTGGTTGTATTTCATAGCTCAACTTACGGATGACTCCATATACAAACAGGTTATGAACCAAAGCTTCTAGAAGCCCTGGAAACGCAGCTATTTCAGCAAAATGCACCCAACTCTGCCCCTGAGGCAAGCAATTCCAGGAAAAATGAGGTTAACGCAGACCAGATAACACACTAAGTTGTCTAAGAGTCAGAGCCTTAAGGTCATGGCAACTTTGAACTTACAAAAGCTTGTCCCTGCATGATCTCCTGTGCACCATTTGTTAAGCTTCACATCTTTCCCATTCAAGTTACGGGAAAGAGAGGTCCCGGGTTATGCTTCAGTCCTGAAAAAGTTTCTAGAAAACTTAAAATATCCTTTGCTAAGTTTCTGACACTTAAAACACAACCCCTGCCCATCAGCCCCCAAAGTCCTTCATCCAGCAGAGTCAAGCATGCAGGAGTCCTATTAACAGCGACCAAGACACAAGGGTGGGGAGGAATTCACTGATGCCGATGGGGGAGAAAAAGCTCAGGAAGAAAGTGCACGTGTCCTCCTAGTGCCCCAAGTGACAGCACCGCACAGCTCGTGCCTATGTCTCCTTCCTGCACTCCGCAAGTAGGGGACCACTGCTTTGGTGGTGCAGCCCTTGAAAAACGTGTGGTAGAAGGTCCAGCTCCAACACCACAACAGTACTACACAGCTCACAGACAGAGGAGCGTACAGCTTAACAAGAAACGGCACTTACAAACGGGGTGAGAAAAGGCCCATTTTCTTTCCTTTATGCTACATAAAGTTAAGTGCTACATAGTTAAGTACTGGCAAAAGCACCTGCTGTGACCTGGTACCGAAGTGAAGCTAATTGAGTTCAGCTGTGAAGGGTCATTTCCTAGAGCACTTCCTCTATAAGAAAAGCTTTTATCCACAGCCACCTCTTCCTGAAGAGGCTACTTAGCAAAGCTGTGCTTCTTTTTGGAGGAAGGTAAGAGCTATCACCTTCCTTCTACTTTTTCTGCTTTTTTCATTGTTTTGATTTTGTTGGGTATAACACAGTTCTCAAGAGCTGTTTCAGTAGGCAGAGCTCAAAGTAAACTCTTGTTTCGCATTAAGTTGTCTACTGAGCAGCAAGTTTCTTGTTTTTTTAACTTTGCCCTGTCTTCACACTGTTTAATTATTTACATGTTTATTTAAAAATGAAAGGAATGAGCTGTTATACAATAACTCTGATCACTGAACTAATTCACAACTTACTGTTTAGTTTATCTGCAAACAATGTTTGATATGTATTTTAACGCTGCAGAACGTGTAGGTTCACATGTCTTCGTTCTGCCAATAACTTACAAACATACCTGGGGCAAAAAGCTTGTCACTAATTAAAAATCCTGTAATAGGCAATGAGAGAGGAGTCTTTATACTGCTTTCTGTCTAACTCTTGGCTAAATGAGTTCTGAGATTCTGGAGCACCCAGAATATCAGCATTCTGATAATCCACCGCAGCTCTCCTACAACAGTAACGATACCTCATTGAGAAATCACCAGCTCCTTACTTATTAGAGCAAATAAGGGAGTGGAGTCAAGCTCTAGTATGCCTCATCATAACCTCACATCAGGAGACAATCAGCCTGTCAGTTTGCTTCCCTCACCCACTAACTCCCCCGGGATTTTATCACATTGGTCCTTCAAATCAAAACTGTAAATAAGTCACTTGATCAGGCACATCTGTCGTATCAGTAGCGGGAACAGCAAAGCATAGAACAGTATTGCACAAGTACCACCCTTTTTATTAATGATGATGTCCCTTTTTACAGCTTACCCTGTGCTGTCAGAGTAACACACGTTGCCTTGTGCCAGTTGCCACTCAAGGCTCCTGCTGGCTGCAGCTGCTGGGGCAATGCACGTTGAAAGACCATAGCTCTATGGACACGGACTTTATTATGCAGTGCTATCGTGGTAGCACATGCAACCAGACCTGGTAGTGCAGCAGTACAGCTATGGGACTTGAGCATGCCTTGTGGCTCTGGCCCAGGGCTAGCTGGTGAGCGTGTCAGGGAGACTCTATCTTGGTGGCCACTCTGTTCACTTGCAGGTCCAAGAAATATTGCTGCCTCTCCAGCAACTGGCTGGCAGGAAGGAAAGGGCCAGTCCAGCTACATGGTGTCAAGAGGTTCTTCCCAGCATAGCTTCCTTCCGTTTCACACTAATGGTAAATAAAATAGGAGGGGGCACCAGACAGGTCTTGAGACTGATTCAATTGGTGACTATGCAAGCATGTCCTCTGTCCCGTGCTGGCTGCCCTGCTCAGAGGGACTGCCCAGCTATGGAGTCCTTCATGTGCTCCCAGTTGTTGTACAGAGCGTAGAGGCCAGTCAGCGTCAGACCTGCAATGCCACCTCGTGCTATCCCACGCACTCCACCTGGAGAAGAAACACAGATGGAAACACGTTAAAGTTACACCCGAGGGAATGGTCAGCTACAGCAACTTCCTAGCAGCTGTTAATGCAGGGGCACTTCAGTGAAACAGTTTTTCTTCTTTTGAGTTACTTCCAGAAAGGGTACCTGTGCTAATTCTACCCTCAAACCTATCTCCAGACTCAAGAAAGGTCATTCCTGATCCTGACACTAACCCGGCTGGTATGACTTCCTCTCAAACTATGTTAGCGCTACTGCCGCAGTGAACTGCTGCAGAACGCTTGAAGCAAAGGTGGCTTTTCCCAAGTCCTACTGTATCTGTTCCATCTGTCCTCAGCACAGGTGTTTACATATAGATACAATCTCTTCCTGCTTTAGTAACTCCTCCATTTAGGATTTCAGATGAGGAATAATAATAATAATAGTTGTCAGTTACAGCAATTAGGTTTGGGGGGAAGGAGAAAGGGGCAGGAGGGAATAAACGTAACAGCAGCTAATACGGACATGACCCTGGGCTCCAGAGATTCATGAGCGCCCCCACATAGAACTTATTACTGCTTTGGTGTCT